TAAAGCCCCTTTTATTATATTTAGTGGCTAACAGTACAGTTGGAGAAAAAATAAAACAGAAACAAAAATAATAAAATAAAAAAAGCCCAGTCAGAGGCCAAATTGCCTGGGTTCAAATGCTTCCACATGTTACCTGTATGACCTTGGGCAAGTTACTTGATCCCTGTGTGCTTCCATTTCCTTTTTCTGTAGGAAATCATCATAGCTACTGAAAGATTAAATGATTAAAGCTCTTAGAAATGTGCCTGGACATGGTGTTATTTAACCAGGTTAGGTGTGATTCTGATTACCCGCCATGCCCATCTCTACGTCAGGGTTTTGTACCCGATGTTTCACTAGGTAAATTCATTTGCCCCATTGCATCATCAAAGACATTGGTTTTCTCTTCCCTCTCACTCACTTCCTAGTCAGTCAGCTCCCATATTCCATTGGAATTGTCGTGCACCAAGGTGCATGCTCAGGTGGAAGATGGCAATTGCTCACTGGCTCCAGGTAACTTGCTATGTGGGAATATAGGCCTAGGGTGGTTGCAAAACCTGACTTTTTCAAAGAAGCTGGGAGTTCATATTTTTACATGAAAAAAAAAATTTTTTTTTTTAATACTGTACCTATTTTATAAAAAGTGCGTGCAGGACATTCAGATCATGTCTGTGAGCTCAGTTCAGCCTGAGGATTCCACTTTGTGACTTCACTTCTCATCTGTTGCTCAAAACTAACCGCTGTCCTTTCATCCTGAGCACTGCCCCAGGGGAAGCTGAATGAAGGCTTTGTGGAGTCAGGCTGCCAGGCTTTGTCTCCAGGCTCCAGTACACAGCAGCTGTGTGACCTTGAGAGCTCCTGAATGTCTGGGTGCCTCAGTTTCCTGCTTAACCTGAGTCATCCATCGTACCTGCTTAGGGCTTGAATGAAGTGATTCGTGAAGAGTGTTTCGCAGGGTCCGATCTGTAAGGAGTGCTGACATTTTCCAGGAGCCTTCTGTTCCCTCTCGGGACATGGACAAGGCCAGTCACACTGTTCTCCTTTCTCTTCCAGGTACAGTTTGGCCATGCTGGAGCTTGTGCCAATCAGGCTTCGGAAACTGCAGTAGCCAAGAACCAGGCTTTGAAGGAGGCAGGAGTGTTTGTTCCCCGGAGCTTTGATGAGCTCGGAGAAATCATCCAGTAAGTGGGCCTTGGGGAGCGTGCCAGCCTCCCCATCCCTTCCCAAATCCCTCCTGAGGACAGCAGCCTCCCTAACGTGTCTGAGATTCCTGGTCCCTCTCAGGCTTCTAGCACAGCTGTACACATGGTCCAAAATCCTTTCTTTCTCTTTGGCTTTTGTTGTATTGTTTGTAGAAGCACCAGTTAGAGGCCGTTCAGGCTGATATTAAGTAAAACATGTTCAGTTTCTGAACCCTCTTACTTGGCTGGCCATAAATGAGAGATGAGCATAGAAACATTTAGAAAGCGTCACCTCTAATCGCTGGATAAAGAGTTGTTGTATATCTTATTGTATCTTCCCATTCCTCCTTTCTGTTCTTCTGTGGCCTCCAGATTCAGCTTTCAGAGGGGGTTGGAATGGGGGGCTGGGGGGGTCTTGGCCAGAACCTGTTTTCATTTAGTTTTGGGGAATCTTAATTGGTAAGAGTAAGTCACTGACAGGAAGAGGGTACGTAGCTGGGAAACCTAAAGTGTTTGGGGTTAGATGGAGGAGCGTTCTTGGGATAGCTTAGAAGCGCCCAGAAGAAAAATCCTCATGGGTGTCTTTTCTTCTGCCCCTCCCCTGCCTCCCAGATCTGTGTACGAGGATCTCGTGGCCAAAGGGGCCATTGTACCTGCTCAGGAGGTGCCGCCCCCAACAGTGCCGATGGACTACTCCTGGGCCAGGGTAGGTGCCATGTGTGTCCTTAGCAGTGTGGGCAACGGAGATTTGGGGGCTAAGGTGGTAGGTTTTGAGTTGATGTGAACCCCTGAAATAGGCCGCCCTAATAGTAAGAGCAACTGCATGATCACTGCCCTGGGCTCTTAACCATGCCATCGAGGGAGGCTTCCCCAAGGGCTCAGGAGAACCGGGTGACTGACTCTTGGATTCCACCCCCTCTTCATATGCTGGACCTTGTGAGGTGGCCCCTTCTGCCCAATGGGTAGAACAAATGCAGGGCTGAACAGGGCAGAAGGCAGGCTGTACCCCCTATAGCTGGGTGGCCTGACCTGGAAACAGGCTGGAGCAGACAATGTCCCCTAGAGTTTTTGTGGTTCCTAAAAGATTTCAGGGTGAAGTAGAGTGTCCACTCTGCATACTTGCCTAAGGAGCATAGATGAGGAGCTAATTTTCTTAATATATAAGGACTCTTAAAAATCAATTTTAAAAAGACTTATAACCCATTTGAAAAATGGGTAGGAAATGGCCTTTCAACATGAAAAAATGCTCAACCTCACTCATAAAAGGAACCAAAGTAAAAACTGTGATACCAGTTTTTCTCCTATCAAGCCAACAAAGATTAAAAAAAAACATTTCTTTGGCAACATGCTGTGTTTGTATAGGTTTGGGGAAACTGGTGCGTTCATTCATTGTTGTTAGGACTGGAAATTGACGTAACCTTTCTGAAAGGCAGTTGGCTAATATGAATCAAATTTAAAAGTGCTCATACATTGTGGTCCAGCAATTCCATGTCTAGACAACTACTTCAGAGAAATATTTGCAAATACACACAAAGAAACATGTTCAAGAATATTTTTCTAGATGATATTTATCAGTGGAGGAACAGCTACATGGTGATATTGTCATATGATGGGATACTATATAGCAATTAAGAGGAATGAACCAGACCTATGTGCGTGCTGATGTTCATAGAGGTCAAATTCACCAAGTAAACAGCACATTATAGGACAGTGTATCTATTATGATCATGAAAAATATATGCACACAAAAGTATAGTCTCCATGTCTATGTATGCATGTCAATAAAAGTAGAGAAAGAAAGGTCTGGAAAGACGTCCACTAAACTAACAAACACTAAGGCAGAAAACCAAGGTAGGGGTGGAGGTCAAAGGAGACATAACTTGATCTGTTCCATTTTAAATTTTTAAAAAGGAGAATGTACTCATGTTACTTTTGTAATTAAGACATAAGTTAAAAGCATCTTTTAATAAAAGTTTATAGGGTTAGGTAATAGAAGAAATGGGCTTGGACAGTGTTGGCTGATGACACCCCTATGTGACCCAACTCTGGAAGCGGGAAATTCAGGAGTTCAGTCCCTTCCCCTGGGGAAAGGACATTTTGAGGGGGTCCCCCATTTCTACAGCCATGTGCCTCATTATTTTTTGGTGGGGGGTTGGTAGCTGTATGTGAGGTGTTTAAAAATGTTTTCTTTGGATTCATTCTTCCATTTCTTGGCCGAATGATGTTGGGCTGGTTTCTGAGCCGCTCTAGGCTTCATTTCCTCTGCTATAACACGAGGAGTGATTCTCCTTTGTGAGGTTAGAGTGAACCGACGGATGCAAACGCTTAGTGTACCGCCTGGCCCTGCAGACGCTTAGTAAAAACAGAACAGGGGCTGAGCCTGAGCAGGTGCCGTGGGTGTGGCGCTCCCGTTTTCTTTGTCCAAAATTATCCAATAAAAGGGCTTTTGCACTTCTTTCTCTTGGAGGGATTTGTCTGAGGGTTGTTACTTGGCCACCAGAATTCAAGACATTCCTGGGACACTGGTTCTGAGAGCACAGACTGGGGGGCAGTCCAGGAAAAATCTCTGTGGTCACCACAGTGCTGCTTGTCTCTGCCCCCATCCCTGCTCAGGAGCTGGGCTTGATCCGCAAACCTGCCTCGTTCATGACCAGCATCTGCGACGAGCGAGGACAGGAGCTCATCTATGCGGGCATGCCCATCACCGAGGTCTTCAAGGAAGAGATGGGCATCGGCGGGGTCCTCGGCCTCCTCTGGTTCCAGAGAAGGTGAGGCGTGGAGGGCAGAAGATGGTGGGGCTCTGGGACTCAGTTAGTGATTTTCCCGACGGGAGCGGGGGTGGGCAGCCTTGGGGAATATGTCCAGGGTCAGTCTTTATGGCCACGGATCAATTGTGAGGCCAGAGGAAAGAAATACAGGCTGTTCCTAAGTCGTCCAAAGATGGAAAGGCCAGTCTAAACCAAGCGAGGTAGAAAGCATGACCTCATCAGGGTTCTTGGATCAGACCCTTTCCCTTGGAAAGTTTTAAAGACATAGGGCAGAGTAAATTCGGGCCTTTGTAGAGAAAGGTGGAGATCTTTTAGAGAAGGGGAGATCTGGGCGGATCTGGTAGCTCAAAGAGTACAAGCCTGGTGGAGTTGCTGAACAGGCATACAGGATCTCGTATCATCAGCCTTAATGTGACCTAAAATTGGTTTTCTCTGCAATTCCCAAGCTTAACCCTCCTCTGGGACAGATAGCTGGGCAAGGGAGCCAGAGAGTACATGATTCACAGTCATGCCCTCACCTGCAGAGAGCTGGGTGTTGGTCTTGCTTTGGGCTCTTCCTGGGGCACCTGAGCAGGTTTTACCCTCCTCTTGCATCCCTGTGTCTCCAGACTACATTCTTAATCAGTTGGTAGGTTGAACCCTGGAGGAGGCCGTAGGCCTGTGAAAGGGACAGGGACCTCACCTCCTCTCTGTCTGGTCCGTAGAGGGTAGCTACCAATACAGGTCAAATCCCGTTGCAGCAACTCATGCTGAAAACTGCCGACTAAAGAAGAGATTTCAAATCCTGCTTGCTCACTATTTTAAAAGCAGTATTTAACTTGAGAATATCATGCTAACCGAAATAAGGTGGAAAAAGACAACCATATGATATCACTTGCGTGATATAAAACAAGCAACAAATGAACAAACAAACATTCATAGACACAGACAACAGTATGGTGGTTAACCGAGGGGAAGGGGAGTTGGGGCAAGTAGAGGAGGGTAGAGTTGGTCAAAGATAACGGTGACGGAAATGGACTTGACTTGGGGTGGTGAGCACAAAATGCTACATAGAGATGTATTATAGAACTGTGTTCTTGAAACTTATATAATCTTATTAACCAATGTCATCCCTCAATAAATTGAATAAAAACTTTTTTTTTTTTTTTTAGCTGAGCCATCCTGCCACCTGTTGGCAGCTCAGTGGCTGCTCAGCTCGGGCCGGGACTCGAAACGCTGTTGCTCAAAGCTCAAAGTCTTGAGCGAGCTCTTAACCAACTGAGCCACTCAGCCGGCCCGAATAAAAACTTTTTTAAAACCTAAAGTAGAAAGCAGTATTTGATATCAGCAAAGTCCAGAGCTGCTCAAGAATCGGGAGGTTTTGCCCCAGAGTTGTAAGGTAGTTCTAGACCTGGAGTGGCAGGCTGCTGCCCTTCCTGAATTTGAGACTCGTTTAGGGAGATGGGAGAAAGGAGGAGCATGGCCTTGTCAGCGTATCGCCTGTTCAGCGGCTCACCCTTGTTCCCACCTTCCTTTCCCTGTCCCTACACTCACCCTCCTCTAGGTTGCCCAAGTACTCCTGCCAGTTCATTGAGATGTGCCTGATGGTGACGGCTGATCATGGGCCAGCCGTGTCCGGGGCTCACAACACCATCATCTGCGCTCGGGCTGGCAAGGATCTGGTCTCCAGCCTCACCTCGGGGCTGCTCACCATTGTGAGTACCGTCATCCTGGGATATGCACAGTGGGGACACTGGGCTTTGGCATCATGCTGCTTGGCTCCAGCAGGGTCCCACAAGGAGCCCTGGCGTGTAAGACCCTGCACTGGGGCCATTCAGGGCATGCCAGATTGGTCTGCGAAGTTGAAGGAGACACTTAGAGCTCAGGGCAACATGGGCTTGCTTCTCCCACAGGGGGACCGGTTTGGGGGTGCCCTGGATGCAGCAGCCAAGATGTTCAGCAAAGCCTTTGACAGTGGCATTATTCCCATGGAGTTTGTGAACAAGATGAAGAAGGAAGGAAAACTGATCATGGGCATCGGTCACCGAGTGAAGTCGGTAAGCTGTTGCCATCCTGAAGGGAATGGATCTACAGGGTGGATGGGAACGAGAGGGCCTCGATTTAGCTGGGAACGCCCAGGCAAAGCCTTGGATGTGTTGACAAATGCCAACATTGTAATACAGATTGCCCTTAAACAGTTTTTATTGTGTTCAGTTGCAGTGTGAAAATACGATGAGCTGGTAACTTGGTAACTTTAGCTTTCCAAATGAACCTTATAGGAGAAAGGGTGAAGTTTAGGGTTATGGGGACATATTGGTTCCCTTAGGCTAGATCAGGGGACGGCAAACTTCTGAGACGGAAGAGCCGCCAAGGGTCAGCAAACTGCAGCTCGCGAGCCACATGCGGCTCTTTGGGTGCGTACATATGGCTCTGAAGTAAAATTGAAAATGAAAACCAAACTATCATAGTTTCATTTATAAAATTTTTAAAGGATATTATTTACATAATGGTGATTATGTAAAAATATATTTATGGCTCTCAAATAATATTTAAATTGTTGGGAGGGACAAGGTTGGCTCTTCCAGGGGTTAGCAAACTTTTGAGATGGAACGTACCCAAAGAGCCGCATGTGGCTCGTGAGCCACAGTTTGCCGACCCCTGGGCTAGAGGATGCTGCATGCTGCAGTAACACACAACTCCAAAAATCTCCATGGCTTACAGGAAAAGTTTTGTTCTTATTCACCCTACACCACAGTGGGTTGGCTGTGGCTCTGTTCTCTGTCGCCTATGCTGAAGGAGCAGCCCTTATCCGGCATATGCTCGTCTCACCTTAGAAGAAAAGTCATGGCAGAACCACATAAAAGCTCTTAAAGCTTCTGCTTGGAAGTTGCACAGCTCATTTTCACTTGAATTTCATTGGCTAAAGCAAGTCACATGGTTAAGCCTGATGTCAATGGGTCAGGAAAAGCAATAATATAAGACCAGACCTGATTGGCAAATGCCAGAGGGCATGTATTTTAAAGTTAATAAGGCAGGTAGTCCTGTGTGTCCTGAAATCAAAGGGAAAGAGAAGAGGTAACGGAAGCTGATCAGGGCCTTAGGGGCAGCTCCTTGTAGGACCCTTTGCCTCGGGGTCCTTGGCCCTGCAGCTCCAGAAACCTCATTTAGTCAGTCATTCCGCTGGTCAAGGCGGGGTGTGTGATTCACATTCATACAAGAGGGTCATGCATGTGATCTGGAACACCCCCTCTCAGACATCCAAATGCTCAGCCAGCTGTGGGCTGACCTGCAGAGGTTGCTTGATGAGCAAGAACTGCACTAGAGCCGAGGAGGTGGTCAGTTCTGAGGGTCATTCCATCCAGGCTTAGCAGAGCTTTGCTCAGCCACCCAGCTCCCGAGCAGATAGCACTTCTCCAGTTCACCGTGCAGGGCCTCTTTCTCAACGTCAGACCTGGGCTGCCACAGTCTTTCAGGCTCCTTCCTTTCTGGAGTCCATACTGACCTCATGTGTCTCTTTGCTGAGGGAGGCCACAGTGGCATTGGGATTTGGCGTGTGCCTAAACCATCTCACTCCCCCACTTACAGATTGTAGGTCTTAACAGATGGTTCATCTCCATTCACCGACAGCCTAGAGTTTTTCCTAAAATTTCAGGGGTGCTTGCTTAGTGTAGGACTTGGTTACAGCTTGACCAGGCTGCTGAGCTGGTGGGCAGCATGGCTAGTGGCTAGTACATGAGACTTCTGGTTGGAGAGTGGGCGAGCCTCAGCCCCCTGCGGCTTAACACAGTAGGACCCATTGCTACATCTCCAAGTCACAGTACCTTGTTTGTAACGTTAAAGAGAACCTGCAAAGGCTGTTTTGAGGCCCAAATGAAATATGAAAAGACTTTAAAAACCTTAAGCCCCACAGCAGTGTCATAACCTGTGCTACATGGAATCATACACGTGGATCAGATCCCTGAAACACCTGGATATGAAATGCACAGTGGTGTCTACCTGTGACATGAGCATGAACATCCCTTAACAGCAGGGTTAGAGCAGATTCCTCTGTAACTCTGGGTCACTTTCTAGATAAACAACCCAGACATGCGAGTGCAGATCCTTAAAGATTACGTCAAGCAGCACTTCCCTGCCACCCCCCTGCTCGACTATGCGCTGGAAGTGGAGAAGATTACCACCTCGAAGGTAAAAAAGAAAAATGTCCCTAATTCCTGAATCACAGTTTAGGGTGGATTTCTTGGGAGAAAGGAGAGAACCAGGTTACCTTTTCATTGTGCAGCTAAAGTCAAACCTGGGTTTCTGGAAAATTTTTATTTCTGTTGCTTAACTGAAGTTCAGCAGACATGTACCAAGTGTCAACTAGGTGTCAGGTCCTTTGCTAGACCGTGGGGATTGAACTAATAAGTATGACAGTCTCTTCAAACCAAATGGGATGTTTTGATGGGAGGATTTTAAATGGTGATCAGAATGCATAGTATGGTAGTAGTAGGAAAATTATAAGCAAACAAATGAGAAATCGTGATAAATGCTTTGAATTTTTTGCCTTCCCAGAAACCAAACCTTATCCTGAATGTAGATGGCTTCATCGGAGTTGCATTTGTAGACATGCTTAGAAACTGTGGGTCCTTTACTCGGTGAGCTTTGCAGCCCTTTGCTTCTTCCTAATGCTTACTGATTTTTGTTGTTCCCTCCCAACTCTAAAAGCAATGCATGCTCATTATAGAGGACTTAAAAAATAGAGAGATATGAAGAAGGAAAAAACTGCCTCTACTCCTGCCACCCAGAGCACCCCTTTTCCACTGTAAAATCAGAGCTGGCCTTTCATTCCTGGGCAGACAGTCGTACCCTCTTGGGGAAGAGGGCGGTCATGTGAGCCATTTTACAACTACACATTGCTTGTGTTGCAGGGAGGAAGCTGATGAATATATTGACATTGGAGCCCTTAATGGCATCTTTGTGCTAGGAAGGAGTATGGGCTTCATTGGTGAGTTTGTTGTTGTTTGTTATTGTTTTAAGAGTTTTGGGGGGATTCTTTTTTACCACATGGCCCAGCTACACCACTTACTCATGTGGGAAGTTTCTACAAAAGAGATGTCACATTGATTTATTCATTGTTCCTAATCCTGCCTTTCTTTCCCTTGCCCCTTATCTTTGTTCCTTTGTTCTTGGAAATGACTTTGATTGCGAGCCCAGGACAATGGAATTAAATCCAACAGTTCCCTTTTACCAAGCCTAGCATCTACCTATGGAATGGATCTGGGTTTACTTCCCCATTTCTTTGTAGCTATCATTTTGTATTAGAAAGATTTCCCTCCCTTATCCTGTCTCCTTCGCCAAACTTGAACAAGTTCACAAACTCTTTAACAAAAAAGATGCAATTTTGCTCCATTTTAGGACACTATCTTGATCAGAAGAGGCTGAAGCAGGGGCTGTATCGTCACCCATGGGATGATATTTCATATGTTCTCCCGGAACACATGAGCATGTAACTGAGCCAGGAACCCTGCTACAGTCAAGTGAAGACAAGAACTCCTCCCCACTGGGAAAAAGTGCGCAGACAGCTGGCGCTGGAGCTTGCTATAGGATGGGCCTGGAATATAAACAGCCACTGGTGTACAGGCACCAAATACCAACACCCACAGGCTAACACTGTTCAGTCCACAAAGAAGCTTAATATTTTTTTTATAAGCATAGAAATAAAAAAACCAAGCCAATACTTGTGACATTTGCTCTGCTACCTACCTGCTGTATTTATTAATGTAAAAGCATCTAAGCGTTGTCAGGGTAGTGTTTTTCCTTCTGGTAGGGCGTTATGATGCTGTCTTTTTTTGCATTAGTTAAAATTTTTTTTTCCCTTAGAGGAAGGGAATTAAACTTTTAAGACCTCAAGATACTATACATTTAAAGCACCCCTAATGTCTTGTTTTTCCTATTCCCTTTCTTCCTGTTCATATAACATGAAGAGCATTGTATTAGTCTGATTTTTTTTTTTTAAGGATCTTTTTGTATGTTATATGTGAAGGGTTTGTTTGATATCCCACTGAAATGCTCCATGTTGCAAACCTAACTAAAGTCTGCTTCTGTCAGGGGGATGAAACCATTGCATCCTTAGCTATTGTCACAAAATATGTGGGGTAGTAATTTAAAATGTAAAGGTGTAACATACATGTTTAAAATGGAAATGCAAAGCAAAAAGCTGTGAAATGTCTTGTGTCTTATGTTCTCTGTATTTATGCAACTGACTTGTCTTTTACTCGAATGTGGACTCATCGTCACCAGTCAGTTTGCATCTGTAATCCACAAAGATTCTGGGCAGCTGCCACCTCAGTCTCTTCTCTGTATTATCGTAGTTTGATTTAAATAAATAGTAACAGTGAATACATACCTCTTTCATCTGCATTCCTCTGAAGTGTACTTTATAATAATTTTACTACATGTAGTTTTAAAAATGTTAATCCACTTTAAAAAAGAATCAAGTGCCAGCCTAGTGGCTTAGTTGGTTAAGAGTTGGCTTAAGGGGGCTGGCCGAGTGGTGCGTTGGTTAAGAGCTGGCTTGGGACGCCAGAGGGCCTGGTTCGGATCCCACATATGAGGGCCAGTGACACTGACCTCTACAGCTAAGATGCTGAACAACAGCTCAACCTGGAGCTGGGCTGCTGTGAGTTGCTAAGGTGTAGGCTGCAGCCCCTGCTGCAGTGGGTTGCCATGGGCTACCGTGTGTAGCCAGCAGCCAGAGTGAGCGGCAGTCCAGAAGGCGGCGACTGATCTGCCTCGCCCGGGAAGAGCACAACGATGGTGCCAACTTGGGCCAGTGAAGCAACGTCCTCCACAATTAGACTGAAGAACAAAAAGGCAGCAACTTGTCTGTTCCCCTTCCCCCAATTCCCCAGCACTGTTTCCATCCCCCAATTCCCCCAATAAAAATCTTAAAAAAAAAAAAAAAGGTTGGCTTAAGAATGCGAGCTCTGAGCAACAGGGCCGCTGGTTCGATTCCCACATGAGCCAGTGACACTGTGCCCGAGCTGAGCTGTCGCTGAGCTGCCAACAGGTGGCAGGATGGCTTAGCTGGTGTAACAACAAGATTGCTGTTCGATGGTGGGCTATGCCCACCTGCAACTAAGACTGAACTCGGCACTTTGAGCTGAGCTGCCCAGGCAGCTCAGTGGATAGGGTGTGCGCTCTTAACAACAAGGCTGCCCAGTTCAACTCCCGCGTGAAATGGTGGCTACGCCCACCCGAAACTAAGATTGAACACAGCACCTTGAGCTTAGAGGCCATGAGCTGCTAATGGGAAGCCAGATGGCGACTGGCGCCCTCCACAACAAAGATTGAAGAACAACAACTTGGCTAGTCCCCTCCCCCAATTCCCCAATAAAATCCTTAAAAAAAGAAATCAAAGCACTATTTTCCAAAAACAAATACCCACCCTTAAATCTGCATTTCCATCTTTCTCAGTGAATGGGAACCAAAGCTCTACCGACCCAGATACTCAAAGCCCATAACTTGGGAGTCATCCTTTCTTCTACTTCTCTAGCTGCCAAGCCCTGTCGATTTATTTTATTTCTTTATTTCTTTAAGTAAGTAAACCAACATATTAGTTTTAGGTGTACAACATAATGATTTGATATTTGTAAACACTGTGAAATGATCACAATAAGTCTAATTACCACCCAATTTTCCCTTTAATTATCCCTCTGATGGATTCATGTCTGGTCTGTTAACTTGTGCCCCTAGTTCTACTTTTGACCCCCTACAGTCCATTCTCTATGCAGCCACCAGTGACATTTTTTAAAACTAATTGAGCCACTTCCTCGCTTAAAACCAAAAAGTGGCTGTGGTCATTATTTAAAACAAGTATATATAGGGAAAAGTAGCTATGACCCAAATACTATGCAAAACACTTAAGCATCATCTTTTAATCCACAGCAATCTTCCAACGTAGGTATTATTCCTGTTTTTAGAAGATAAATTAGTTCAGAGAGAACAAGTAACTTACTTGCGCACTCTCATCTACTTAGCTGGGGCTCGGTCTCAAGTCCTTTTTTCTTTTTAAAATTTCACTCCAAACCCATTTAAATCTTTAAATAACAATCCTATGTTGCCACCCAAGACACTAACAGTGGGTGATGGTCTAACGTGGCTTTTATTTTACAAAATAACTACAAAGAGCATGCTACTCACTGAGGGGAAGGACACATGCCACCACCACACTCACACCGAGATATGGGAAACCTCGGGTCCAGCAACCATAACTGGAGAGCTGTACAGTTAGTTGAGCCTTACCCAAGGTTGGACGGCGGCTGTCGGGCGCGGTGGCGCGTGCGCAGAACCCGTGGCCGATAGGCTCCGCCCCGCGCTCACTATTTATTCCCAGAATCCCTCTGTGTCGCACCAGAACGGCTGGATCGTTCTGAGACTGCGGCCACCGGGCGCGCTGTCGTCAAGATGGCGGCTGCGGCGGTTGCGGCCGCGGCAGCCGCAGCTGCGGCTGCATCTCTGCAGGTGCTAGAGATGGAGAGCATGGAGACAGCCGCCGGCGGCTCAGCGGGGCTGGCTGCCGAAGTCAGAGGCAGCGGCACGGTAGACTTCGGGTCCGGGCCCGGCTTATCTGCCCTGGAGGCGAACGGGGGCGATCCGGGCCCGGAGGCCGAGGATTTCGAGTGCAGCTCTCACTGCTCGGAACTGTCGTGGAGGCAGAACGAGCAGCGGCGCCAGGGCCTCTTCTGCGACATTACGCTGTGCTTTGGTGGTGCCGGAGGCCGCGAGTTCCGGGCCCACCGCTCGGTGCTGGCCGCCGCCACTGAGTACTTCACGCCCCTGCTTTCGGGCCAGTTCTCCGAGTCCCGCTCGGGCCGGGTGGAGATGCGCAAGTGGAGCTCCGAGCCCGGGCCCGAACCCGACACGGTGGAAGCCGTTATCGAATACATGTACACCGGGCGCATCCGCGTTAGCACGGGCAGCGTGCACGAGGTGCTGGAGTTGGCGGACAGGTAGGCGGGAGGTGGAGATGCTGGCCGCCCGAGGGCCGCATCCAGGGAGGGCGCTGGAGAAGGCGGGGAGGGCAGTGCCTACGGGTGGGCCCCAGAGAGAGAGCCCTGAGGAAGAGCCCTGAGGAAATGCGTTCGTTTCTCACTCATTGAGCGCCTGCTGTGTGCTCTGGGCCCGCACTGAGGATGCAGCCGGCTCGTCCGGCGAGGGCGACCTTCGGGACCTCCGATTCCAGGTGGAGGGACAAAGGCAATGAAAAAGAAAGTCCTCCTATAATAAGTGGTGTGTTGACATGAAAAAGGAATGGAAGGATAGTGAGTGGTTAGAGGAAAGACCTTTCCGAGGAGGTGACATTTAAACCGACCTCTAAAAGGCAAGGAAGAACTGGCGGTGCAAAGATGGGGAGTCAACATTCCAGGCAGATATCGCAAAGGCCTCCAGGCAGGATCCAGTTTAGCTTAGAAAACTAAAGAAAAATCCAGTGGGGCTGGATCTAGTGGGTGAAAGGAGAAGGGTGTGTGAAATGCGTAGGAACAGGAGTTTGGATTTTACTGGGTGATGATGGGAAGCTAGGTAAAGAAATTGTCTGATTGAAATATTTCAAAAGATGATTCTGCTGCTGTGGAAAATGGAATGAGGGGGTACGAATGGCTGCTCCAGAGACTAGCTAGGAGGCAGGTGAATGCCATTTACACAGGAGTCTTTTTCAGCAGTATTATGTTACAGATACATTATTTTGACAAATACCTACACTACAGAGTATCTATTATGCACCAGATCAGACACTGGGTTCTAAGGTGCTGGGGATTCAGTAGTGAACAAAACAGACAAAAGTCCCTTTCCTTGTCGCACTCATATTTGGTAGATGGACAATAAATAAGTGAAATAGATAGCATATTGGATGATTGTTAAAGCTGTGATGAAAAATAAAGCATGGTGGGGACATATAGAAAGTGCTGGAGGAGAGGAACTGTTTTTTGTTTTTTTTTTTAATTGAACAGAGGATGCCTCACGAAGAAGACATTTTGCAAAGAACTGAAGGAGGCCAGGTAAAGAATGCTCCAGGTAGGGGATACAGGTGTAAAGGCGGAGCTTGTCTGGATGGTTAAGAATAGCAGCAGGAGGCCAGTATGGCTAGATCAAAGGGATGCAGAGTGAGAGGGGTAGGAGAGGCCTCAGGGTGGTAATGGGAATAGCTCCAGATCCCATAGGGCCTTGTCCGCCTGTGAAAGGACTTCAGTTTTTACTCTGAATGATATGGGAAGGTTTGGGGCAGAGGAATGATGCGATCTGATTTGAAGAATTCTGCTGTGTTGAACAAAGGATGGGCTGATGGGGAAGGGGCTGCAAGGGCAGAAGCAGAAACTATTTAGGAAGTTGTCCCAGAGGTGGTGGCAGCTTGGGTTGAGGAGGGAGAAGTAAAGGTGATAAGACGTGCTTCAATTCCAGACATATTTTTGAAGATAGAGGAGATGAATTTGCTGATTTGATGTGGGGTGTGAGGGAAAGACTGCTAGTTTTTTAACTCAAGCAATCGGAAAGATGGAGTTGTTATTTATTAAGATGATGTGGAAAACTGCAGGAAAGCAAGTTTGGGAGGAAGATCAAGAGTTCGGTTTTGGTCCAGGAGGTATTTGAGTAGGCACTTGGATATCAGAGCATTGGGAGCTAGAGATTGAGAGGAAATTAGCATATAGATGGTAATTAAAGCTATGAGACTGGATGAAATTACTTAGGAAGAGAGGGTAGATAGAGAAGGGGCAGGACTGAGCCCTGAGGTTCTTCAAAATGTTAAAGAGGAACCAGCAGAGAAGACTGATTTCATGGAAGCCTAGAAAGAAAGGGTGTCAAGGGGGGTGTAGCCAGTCATGTCAACTCTGTCAGCCCTAAGTGATCATTGAATTTGGTGATAATAGAGGTCCTTGATGGCTTTGATGAGAGCCATTTAGATCTTGCTAAAAAGAGGATCAGAAAAGTGTTAAATATGGAAATGTTTGGGGAAGAGTCCAAGGGGAGGTCCCCCCACCCCCACCCCACAAGATAGGAGATACTAGAGCATGTTTGTGTGCTGATGAAAAATAATCAGTGGAAGGGGACAAATTGATGTTATGGGAGCAAGGGAAAAATTGCAGGAGCAAAGCCCTTGAAACCAAGAAGAGGATAGAATCTATATTAAAAATGGAAAAGTTGGACAGAGAGGGCAAAGTATAGGGTACAGGTGCAGGAAGGTAAATTGGGCGGTGGGAAGATGAAGATTCTGCCTGATTTTGTTTTCTCAAAGCTGAGGTTGGGTCATCCATTGGAAGGTGGAGTGGAGTGGGAATAAATCTAAGAGAGCAGGGTTTGTTGAATGAAAATGGAAGGGTCATTGCACTCATGATGTGTTTCTTCTGTCATGTGAGCTTGTGTTTTTCAGATTTATCCCTGTTTTTTGGGGGGTTAGAGGTGAAGAGAGAACGCCCCAGGCAATTTATTTAAAACTCTTGTCTCCATCTGTCAGCTGCTGAGTAAGCTGCCTTGTGTTAGGCAGTTCTGAGTGCCCTGCAGCCATCACATCTAATCTGCCATTGGCTCTTGAGGCAGGACCCCCCAACCCCGTATTCGGTCTGTTGATCATATCTACCTTGCACAGTAAAAATAATAGGAAGTGCCCAGCACGATTCTTATCACATGGCAAATGCCTAGTATGTGATAGCTATTGTGTTCATAGAACAGTGTTTCCAAACACCTGTCCAAGGGAATATATGTCAGAATTACCTGGAAAATAGCAGTTTGCCGGCGTGGGGAGCCAGAAATCGAGTGACACTGGCACTCAGACCTATGTTTGGGAGCCATTGGAGCTCTTACTATTCCACTTTGGCTTTGTTTTATGTCTAGATGGCTTTGTTTTATGTCCCTGAAGAGGGCGAAGGGAGCCTATCGTATTTATCTTTATGTCATTGTTGGATAGTCAGGAAGCACAATGACCGTAACAACAAATGGTTACTGAATTAGAGAGGTCTGGACTGATGAAGTCATCCTTACATTGTTTAAGGTTCTCAGTTCTGGGGACTTATTCTTTTTAAAGCAGTAGTCTCAAACTGGCCACCCTCACGGCTGAATTCTGCCAGATTTATGGATTTGGCTAAAACTATTCTGTTTGGGGTTTTTTTTTTTAATTTAATTTTAAACAAATATAGTTCAGCCATAAAAAAAAGAATGAAATCTTCCCATCTGCAACAACATGGATAGACCTCGAGGGTATTGTGCTGAGTGCATGCAGTAAGTCAGACAGAGAAAGACAAATGCCATATGATTTCACTTATAAGTGGAATCTAAAGAACAGAATAAACAAACAAAACAGAAACAAACTCATAGATACAGAGAACATTTTGATGGTTGTCAGATGGAAGGAGGTTTGGGGGCAGGTAGAAAAAGGGGGGCATTAATAAGTACAAATTGGGGCCGGCCGAGTGGCGCGTTGGTTAAGAGCTGGCTTGGGACGCCAGAGGGCCCCGGTTCGGATCCCACATATGAGGGCCAGTGACACT